GGTCTCTATCATTTCTTTGAAATGACCTTGAAAATGAATTTAGGTCAGGAAAGGTTGGAAAGTAGTCTCTAGTGAACCTCAGCCTCAAGCTTTTACCAAGACTCTCAGACCCTGGCTTTTCCCGACTCACCTGCTTTCTCATGGGTGCTGCTGCCTTGGCCTCCTGTGATATTCTTGCCAAATCTCTAAGGATGGGGTTTTCCAACTAAACGGAGCCACCTGCTAAACATGGTGGGTGTTAGACGGTGGTGTATATGTATTTCTTAAGTTAGGGAGGGGCAGCTTGCTTGCTAGGCTGTGGCCTGATTGTTCACATCATAATGCCTGCTAAACTCTAGCAACACATAATCAGACATGTTCAGCTACATGATCGATGAAAATATGGGCACAGATTATATGTTTGAAGAACAGAGAAGTGACTGCTTCCAGAGATGGTTCTTTTAATCCTGTCCTCTGTGTTAGCCTTTATTCGAGAATAGTCAGATGTTACCATATACCCACATTTTCTTCCCATGTCAGAAATGTTCAAGTACTGTCCCTCTTTCTCCTCCTCTGCCCTCCCCTTCTCCCCCTCTCCCTCCACATACCTTTAACTGCTCATGAGATGTGAGACTGCCCGCTGCAAACCCTCTCGAATCTGTCCTGGGCTTGACATTTCCACTGCCTCTGCATGTAGGCGATCTCCTCGCTCCTCACTCACATCTAAACTGGATTTCTACCGCCAACTAACCTTTGACCCAAAGCCCTTCTCTGTGTGGCCAAGCAATCTTCCTAAAGTTCAAGTGCAGGTGTGCCGTGATTGAAATGCTAGGGCTTCACGGGCAGATGAAACGCTGTGATAAAATGCATAGCATGCCTGGAGCTGACCCTGTGAACTTTCCAGGCTTGCTCTTTATCCTCAGTCACACTTTTAGTTCTGCAAACCACCAACCGCTCCGTGGGAGAAAGATAACCGTTCTCTGCTCCCGGGAGGATTGCCTCGGAAACCCACAGGGGCAGTTCTACCTGTCCTTGTAGGATCGCTATGATTTGGAATCCACTCTATGTCAGTGAGTGAATGTGTTTGCTCATGTTGTGGCTTAGCCTCCCTTCAACGTTGTCCTAAGTTTTTATTTGTCCATCACAAACCCAAGAAGCCCTACTACTACATGGAATCAATCCCTGCTTTACCCTACACATGCCTTGCCCAATGCCTTTAACTCACAGGATTATGTTTGCTTGCATGCCTCTCGGTATTAAATTTGTGAGTGTCCTAAAGGAAGGAGTAGTATATAACAATATTTGTGCCTTCAGAAATGACCGTCATACCTAGTAAAGAGAAGGCTTTAAAACTGTATGGCTGAATTGATTCTCAATTTTATGCTTACCAGTTTGATATTACCATGTGATGGGCCGCTTTTATAGGTTCTTTCTCAGCAGGACCTTGCGACTCTCATACAAATGAGGTGCTGTGGCCTGCCAAGGGGATTGGACAACTTGCTATTGGTGGAAATAAATTGCTTGGCATCTTTATGGGGAACAATGTTAATAAGGTGAATAGACATTGAAAGAGAAGAATGACAAGTTTCACCATCCCACTAGGATTAAAATGTGGGAAGAGGAGACCTCACTACCATCAAGAAGAAGAGTCAAGAATGGAGCACATTCTGTGGACCTGGGTTCCCTGTGCTGGGACCCTCTTAGACCCGGGAGCCAGAGAGAGCTAGAACCCGTACACAGGAGATGGCGAGAGATGGCGAGAAGCAGCAGCAGAGAAATAGCAGCCGCAGAACTAGGAGAGCCGCACAGGATAGCTCAACAGGCTTCCCAGCCCCCAAAGAAAAGTGCTTACAGTAGGCTTGCTGGCCCATAAAGCTAGCTTAGTGCCTTCAGACAGGAGGCTTCCTAGAAGAGGCGGTGCCTTTGGATGGTTATCAGGGAGTGAAACAGTTTTGCAAACTTGCCCAAGCAGGGTCTAGGCCAGCCTAAAGCACCTAAGGCCCAAGGGGAAGGTCTGTTTGCAAGTACAGCCAAGGAGCTCTCCTGAACAAAGAACAGTATCCTAAGTCATTCCTTAAACCTGGTGCTTACAAAACCCACATGGAAGAAGCACACCAGCCTATGCAATCACGAGGTGTTGAAGGGATCAGGTATAAGGCATCATCAGAACAAAAAATATTAAATATTACCATAGTGAATGATGACGGGAGTGGAGACCTAAAGCCCATGAGTAGGCCATTGGAGATCCCCTTGCAGAGGGGTCTCGGGGAGGAGACAAACCAGTCAGGGTGCGATGTAGCAACGATGAAAAATACAACTTTCCTCTAGTTCCTAAATGTTTCCTCCC